TTTCCGTATTGTTTGAGACTAAACATAGATTTGGCACTATTTCTGGCGGCAAAACAATTTACTACAAATGCAATTGAAGTCCCTTTTATTAATCGTTTAATAAATGATCCAGGAGGTAGACAATCAATAACAGTGCTCAACACAAACGTCATCACAACAGCACTGATGGCCACACTATATAAATAAAAAATATGTTTAAAGATAAGTTATCAAACTTTAAATTGTTAATACAGTGAGACTATTTGATATTTATTGAGTTTAATAGGTTTTCCCAAATAATCGCAGTCGTCGTCTAAAATGATCGGAAGTCGAGTAATTGGATACGAGACTGAAGTATAGATTCATTTCATGAGTATAACAGACATATTAACGTTAAAACAAAAGCTTACATTCGGTGAGGGCTGCGGACACATCGTTAGCCTTACAAGTTGTGGGCAAACAAAGTCCGTTCATTAGTCTTATGTTATCAAACAACTGGTTATCAATGAGCTCAATGCCTTCCGAGAGATCATTGGGTGTCATACGATAGATAACTTTCCTGTAGTTTTCAAAGAATTGACTGAAAAAGTTTTTGTAATTGAAAGCTGTGTTTTGGGGCAACTTCTGGCCAATGTTTTCCAGATATTCCCGGGGCACTGAATCGGGAGTTATATCCATATTTTCCCTGATATCCATTCCACAGTATTGTCCATAGATTTTAGGTTTATCTTCTTCGTCGGGACTTTTAATATTCACACCCGCAATCGATTCATAGCTTCCAGAGTCTCATTGAGAGTACCCATAGATGTCTTTATATTAGCCTTTCCCTCCTCGTAGTCGTCGGGAATAAATATATCAACAAATCTATCGATGATCTCATCTTCTGAACAGTGATTGACATAGCTTCCAGAGTCTCATTGAAAGTACCCATAGATGTCTTTATATTAGCCTTTCCCTCCTCGTAGTCGTCGGGAATAAATATATCAACAAATCTATCGATAATCTCATCTTCTGAACAGTGATTGCTATCAGAAGTACTGTAAATATCATCCTCTGATACATCACTACTATTGACAGGATAGTCATAATCATCAGAATCTATACCATAAATATTTTTACTTAAGAATAATATTATTAATAACCAATAATTAAAATTGATAATCATATTGTGTCAATGTTCAGTTAATATTTCAAAAGTGTTATCTGATTCACTTATTGTATTTAATACGACTTTAGATTGCTTTGTACGACAATAAATAAATATATATATATATTCAAATAATATGAATAGAAAACTTATTCATGTGCAATGAAACATTAAAGAAATATTATTTTGCAATTTTCTATGAAATATTAGCAATACTGTATTCAATTTTTTATTATCAATATTATAATAAATTTATTTCTTTAATTTTGCATACAATATTTTTAATAAATATTTAACAAATTTCATAGTAACTTGCGTAAAATCCAGACTCATAAAGGGATTCATACAAACTTTTTATCATTTGTTTACTGATTCATTCATAAGGAATTGTATTTTTCAAAACATATTCCTATCTATGATATACGGACACAATATTCATGGGTTTAATTTTAGTAAGTATTCAATTTCGGTGTTAGTCCATAGTTTAAGCCCTGTTACTGACCACATCACGACATTCCTCAAGAGTATTGACATATTCCTTGGTATTGGAACTGTTTGTCAATTTTAAAGAAGTTTTCTCACGAGAGCTCATTTTATTTCAAACCATAACCTTAGATCTCATTTACAATGATATGGATTTTTATTTTCATTTAAATTTAAATTATACTAGGTAGAATACTTCAAATAGATTATAAATTGAGATCATTAGGAATTTATTGAATTTAATGGGTTTTCCGGAATAATTGCAGTCGTCGTCCAAAATAATGCAATCGAGTGAAGCATACAA